TACACTGTTTAACAACTGATAGGATTTTTAAAAATAAGGGCTTAAGAGTATTTAAATTATTAATATTGTACTGTATCCAAAAGATATCTTGTTATAGTATTTTATAGATGAGTTTAATACTAAATTAATTATATAGGTCCTAAGCAATCCTGATATAGAATTTTGTACAGGAAGTATTTGTAAATATTTGGACTTATTAATGCTATAAAGAATGAATTATAAGGAAAAATAAATAAATAATGTAATTATTATTTCAATTAATTTGTTTATATTGCATTTATCAGTATAGCAAATCATAGCATGCTAATACTAAATTATTGAAATTATTAGTGATTTTAAGATTACATTAAAGAAAAAATTGATTTAAAATAATTAAATTATAAATAGTAGAATATTTATAATTTCAAGCAAATAAAATTAAAACCTTAAAGACTAATGACTTTAAACATTATTATTATTAAATTTAGGCTGGTCAATAAATTTATGAATAAAAATTATCTCGTCATTCTTTTTTAATTATATATATATTGATTGCTTAATCGCTAAATATTAGGCTATAAAAGAGTTAAGTAGCACGTTGATTGTTTATAAATTAACTTTTACTTAAATTTATAAAAAGTAAATATATTGATGTGATTATAAACATCAAGAATTTGAGAGACCATAATTAGTTTAATAGAAAAGAAGATATATTATTAATTTAAATTTAATCAAAAAAATTTTTACATTAAAATTATTGATTAAAAATTTGAATTACAGATATACTATATACTCTTTATTAATTTTTTGTGTTATAACCAAAAATTTTAAGCTAGTATTTCATTATACATTAATTACAATATGTAAATAATGATACTGAAGATGCACATTATATTAAATAGAATTAAAAGATTTAATATCAAATTGCTTGTAATTATGGAATTAAAAACAAAATTCAGTTCAAATCCATATTAAATTTAGGCTTAGAATTAAAAGTTGGGTTTGTTAATATTCCATTATTACTAATTAATATAATTCAACACTTGTTTGATTTAAATTAAGTATGAATTATTTAGTTTATTCAAACTTTTAAAGTAAATTTGTTTTAAGAATAATTGTTGGTAGATTCTCCTGGCAACTATAAGTAAAAATATATTCCTGCTAATTATAGCATCTAATATAGATTTGAATGGAGTTGTATATATAGAAATTTTTTTGGCATTAGGCTTGAATTTCTAAGTTGAAAATCGACATGTTTAAATCAAATTCGATTTCATTTTCACCTAATTTTAGGGTTTCTTAACCTATTTAATCACTTTTTAATTATATTTAATGAATATTATTTGAAATATTTTATAGTTATTAAACTATACTAATATGGTTGCAAGTTAAGGGGGGAATTTTATTATAGTAAATACATTCTCCTTTAAAAATTACCCAATCTTAAATACAAGCAGTACATTCATTATACCCAGGTCCATAGCATTATTCACAATTAATCGAACATTTTCCGATATACAAATCAAATGCATTAATTCCCCAATATTTAATTAAAGTTGAGTTTGATTGAGTTTTAAAAGTAATCTTCATTGATGATTAAGAATGATTCATTTAAGCTCTAAGATTTATTAAAGTAACATTTTATTGAATTTTTCCACAGTTTATCAAATGGGCTGATTAATTTATATGTTCGTTTAATAATTCATAATCATCAAGCTTAAGAATAAATTAATCATCCATCCAAATGCCAAACAACCAAAGTTTGAATTCTACTTAAACATTAAAATGGGAAGATAAATTAAAGATAGTATTTTCAATTGTTTAATTTACTTTTAAGTTAGGGTATCCTCCAGCAATATTAAGACCAGCGCATACACTTGGAGAGAGTGTTTTTGTATCATCTATTTTCCATCCATCAAACTCACTTGGAGTTTACCAAAATGATTTAACATGAATCCAAAAGTCGCATAGCATTATATCATCTTAACAATACACACATCCTTTTGGGCATTTCAATATTTCAATTTTAAAGTTGTTTATCCCCCATGATTCCTAAATATTTCATTATTATACATTTTCTGCCCCCTAATTTAAATTTGATGTTATTATTATGAAAATATTTTTAGAGGAATGAATCATTTAGATATCATAAATAACTTTTTTGTCAAAATCAGCTTCACTAAAAGTACCGCATAATTGATAATCTTATTCCACTGAAAAACATTCTTTTTTTAATTTATCATCAAAGTATATTAAAACGCATTCTTTTTCTTCTTTATTCCAACTATCTATTCTAAAATACAAAAATTTTATATATATACTTCCAAAATAAAAATGAAGCATATATTTAATAGTGAGGAGGAAGACTTGAATTGTAAGTTATTGATGTATTTTAAGAGAATATTGAAAAACCTCCAAACAAAGTCTCATTACCACATTTACTGAACAAAGTTGGGCTATGGTTGTTTTCAAAATGCCATCCTAAATTATAATTAATTTATATACCTTCTATATTGAAGTTATCTTCACTGAAAGTTGTGTATATAATTTCAAATTGGTTTTCAGCATTTAAGTATACTATCCTTAATAAGAACAATAAAGAAAGCATAAACATTTATATTTTAATTTTTTAAATAAATATATTCATGATTTATTCTATTTTCAATTATTTTTATTTTCTAGATAAGCAATTACTGCTATAAGGTGAGTTTTATCTAAGTTATTTGTAGGTGAAAATATTTAATTATTTGGAACCTCTTAAATATATTCTATTTTATATAAATTTTGATGTCAGCTATAGTAAGAAATCATTGAATAGAGAATTTGTTTTTAATGATTTTCTAATTTTGCCAATAGAAATTGCTTAATTAGTAAGAATTATTTGATGACCTATTTGTTTTTAAAAAGCTTTATCATTAAATTTTCTATTATTAGCCCCAAATTATGAACTTTTTCGATAGAATTTGAATGATGATTGGAATTATCTAAAGATTAAATCTAAGGCCAAATTAGAAATTAATTGATCCTTAAAAGCAAAATGAAAATTCAGAGATGATATATTAGATTATAGTTTGTAAACTTACATTAAATTATGGTTTTATTATCATGATCAATTATCATATTAAATTTCTTTTACTTAAATATTTCTATCTATTTCCATCCATATTCCAATTTTTTTACCATTTTATATTCACCATTACAGGTTACTTGTTTTGAGCCAAACAAATAAGAGTGAAAATCATCGCACAACTCAGTCCATATTCCTATTTAAATTGAATCTCCATCCACCTCATCATCATATGAGTCACCTCCTCTAAAATTAATTTCTTTAATATTTACATTTTTTGATAGAGCTTATCTCCAAAATCCATTTGCCAAAAAATATCCCATTTCTAACTTTTTTACCCTTCTTATATTCATCCTTTTAAGTTACTTATGAATAATTGTAAAATCCTTCGCTCAACTCAATCAACTTACCATTTCTCTAACCTGAATAGTTGAATGATCCACCACCACTTACAATTAAATTTAATAATACATGATTTTATTCTTATAAATATATTTCCATGTTCCCTTTTTATAATCGTTAAATATTTCTCAATCTCATAAACTTGAGCTAGACTTATTTTTTTTAATATATTGCTTAACTCCAAAAGTTCTTAATTTCATTCTCAAAATGACTCCATCTTATACATATTTGATATAATTATCTTCAGTAAATATGATTTGAATAGTTGTCTAAACTAATTTTACATTGAATTAATCCCATTTTTTAACTTCTAAATCTTTGGTTCCTATTTTCGGTAATTACGAGTCTAAGGGAATCATTTTATAAAATATTAAACTAATTTGTGTTACTTTAAAATATATTAAAAAATAATTACAAAAAAGTATCCCATTTCTTAATTTT